CCCCCACTCATACCACACCCTGTAGGTCTGGTAGGAATGTTAGGGGTGACCCAATGTAATAATAAAAAAATGGGGTCCCCTCTAAAATCTGTCCTGGCAGAAATACCAGAACTCGTATTACCAGGAACAGAGATTTGTGTGTTTTTAAAATGGATCCACATTAGTATAATTGATGAGATAGACATTCCAGTGACATCCCACAGTGGGCAGGCACCGAAATACAAATCATCCAATAATATTTGACTATTAATCACAGCGAAAAAAGAGTCAATTGTCTTTAACCACAAAGCCACTCCCACACATTACATCATTTGTTACCTACATTCTAGATCTGCACATTCATTTTTAAGGATGTGGTTGACCATCTCACAAGACTTAACTTGTGACAAATAAAAGAGGAAGTTACGCAAAACTTTTACGCTGACAGGCAAAATTGATTATGTCACTGATGAGATTTTTGTTTAAAAACTGTAAAACAAAATGGAGTCTTGAACATGAATACAAAATGAATTCTTTGCTTAACCAACTTTTTCACCTCATTTCCCCCTGTAGTTCATTCTGTGAACTAATAAATCAGGAAAAGCCCACTCCAACCTTCCCTCCACCACCTAGTCCTTTATCAGTTCTTGTAGATACCGACAAAATCTTCCAGCAGAGCAAGTGACCAAGTAAGATGATGGTAAGTCCGCAGGTCCTCACTTCCACAAGATATCATGTTCTCATAACACTCATACACTCTCTCTCAGCCTTTGAGGAGTGTGGCATCGATGTTGTCCAATGAAATCCTAGTACCTTTACTTCCTCAAGCTTGGGAAGAGCAGAATAGGCAAGATCTTGATGTTGTACCACTCAGGGCATTCTTGTAGATAGTCTGGATTAGTGAGGCCGGGTTGTTGTGTTTGCATCTGCATAGATGATTGAAGTTGATGTTCTTCAGGTGGTGGTTGGGAAGTATGGATCAGGTGCTTCTCCAGATGACATACATGAATACAGTAGGAAAGAGGAAAATTTTAGTATCTGCTCCTTCTTCTTTGTTTGTTTTTCATATAACAGTCACTAGGCTAGACAGTTAACCATCATAGCTGGGCTCATCTTAGTTATAAGTAATTGATTATAATCAATTACTTATAACTAAGATGAGCCCAGCTATGACATCATTTAAGGAAAATGCTTTCCAAAATTAGATCATTTGGTGGGTGTTTCCACTGTACTGGCACTTTAGGGCCTCAAAATGTGGTAGGTAATCAGAGAATCACATGCATAATAATTTATGATTTCTAAAATAGCAAGTAAATTAATACATATCAATCCAACATTTTCCTACTCTATCCCTACCTATGCTGTATTGGTCTCACTAGGCCCCGTATATACGATATATGCCATCATTCTGTAGTACTGTCATACTCAGTGATGAGACATCTGTTTGTGGTTGTTGAGACCAATACCCCATTCCTTATCCACTCAAAATAACAAACTATTAAAAATAATGAAAAAAAAATGCCAAAGCTCATAAATGTAAGTGGGATACCATAGTATAATTATAAGCCTCCAGTTCCAAGTCTAATCTTAAAGTGACATTAAAGTAAAAAATATTTTTCCCTCCCCCCAATGTTAATTAAAGCACTTACCTTAAATTATGTTTCTTGATCCGATCTTCTTCTTCTTTCCTGTCCTTTTCCTCTGTCCCTCCAGCGCTGCTGTGGGTCTCCGATCCAGCTCTGACTCCTCTGCCCTTGCTGGCACTTCCTGTCCCACGGTGTCTGCATGCGGGTGCACGCCATCCATATACTTACCCTATGTCTCTCCTCGTCTTCCGGCCGAAAATCTGAACTGCGCATGCGCCCGCTCCAAGATGCTTTGCGGCCGCCCGAGAATTTTCAGATTTTCAGACGGAAGCGTGAGGCGAAGACAGGGGTACGTTTTTAAACCGCTTCTAAAGCGGTTTTTGCTTTTTTTTTTTTTATGTTTTTGCATATATCTCCTGCTTGCTAGCAGGAGATATATGCAGAAAAAAACCCAGAGGGTTTAATAACCCTTTAACCACTTGAAGACTAGGGTGTTCAACCCCCTTCCCGGCCAGGCCATTTTTCAGTATTCAGCGCTGTTGTACTTTGACTGACAATGATTCAGTCATGCAACCAAAATGATGCAACCAGTCATGC